AAACCGGAACCAATCACTTGACCGGTTCTCGGTTTTTCCGATTCAACCGTCCGGTCCAGTCCGGTGTTGAAAACCATGCACTCTGGATCAGCTACATCCTACAAATAAAGGCATGTATAATGGGCTATGTAGCCACTATAGTGAACAGGCTAATGACCTATAGACAAGGGGTGTAGGCCTCAGGTTTGTAACAGATGATGTCCTAATATGAGGGCATATGAAGACAAACAAAAGGGCTGCGTGCCTGTGCAATTGAAAATTGAAATTGCTGCTCTGCCCGCCACTGTCCAAAATTACGCGGTACACCTGAAGAAATTGTGAGCTTTTAAGTGTAAAGAAGGGGATCGTGTCGATGGGAAAAATTTTGACTTTAAAACAGCCAAGGCTGTTTTTTCCAAATAACCAAAGTTTTCTGTGGTGTCACTAGACAACCCAAAGCCATGCCTGGCCCATGGCAGACATGGAGTGACAGCATGATAATAAATTATGATGCTAGATGAGAAGAATTTTTGCTGTTTGGGAAAAAATTAACCCCAACTTTTTTTTAAAGCTTCCCGCTCACGACACGATACCCACTAACTAAGAATATTGGTCGCAGATATTCTTTTACCCAACACTTATGTAACATGTATGTCCTGCTAAGGCAGCTCCCAACAGTTTGGGTTTGGTTTTCGGGTTGAACCAAATAGACAATTTGCTTTGGCCAAAATAATAAAAAAACGGTCAAAAACCTTTGTTTGAGTTGGCGGTTCAACCATTGGGATCAGTGATTCATTGATCAAATCAATAATTTTTGACCAAAAACCAGTTTTGGGGTGAAATAGAATCCACAAGGTAACTGATCCTTGGTTTTTGTAACCAAAGTTTCAAGGTTCTTGATCTATAATCACCAGTCACTAACCAACAGTCTATTTGATTTGACCTTATGATTGGGGGGGTGTTTTTTTTTGGATTTTGAGAGACGAAAAGTTCGCCAATAGGATTTTGATTCCGACCAAAAATCTCATGTTCTTTTTACAGATTTATGTGGGGACCAATGAAAGTTTATTTTTCTGAGCATCACTTAATCCGGTAAGTGATACTTATCTCTTAGGTAGATAAAAAAATTTCCCACCTTAGGGGAAAGTTGCCAACACTTGAAAGGAACAAAAATACCCCTTGTAATAGTAGATTTTCATGGATAAAATGGTAATTGCCTTATTTACATGGGAAATAAAAAAACATGGGTAAATGCACTTACCCGAATAAATCTTTCCTGAGAAACAATTACCTGGGTAAGTGCATTTACCTGGATAAATAACTTACCGAAATACGAACGGGCCTTCATGGCAAGTTGGGGATCAACGCTCCTGATGCAAGTAATGAACAGTTTATTATTTTGTCCAAAGTCACACTAGATAAGTTGGTGGTAGACATTGGCCATGCCTGTAACCATGTGTGCAAAATTTCATAAGGGTTCTTGGGTGTGATTGAAAAAAAGAAAATCTGAGAATTTAAGACCATCATTATCATCATCTAAGCCTTATCCCAACTACACGGAATCAGTTATATAAATCATATTCCGCTAATCGGTTCTGCGTAATGCCATATCCAAAATAAAAATTGAAGATAACTAATTTTGTTTATTTATTTATTTACTTTTTTAATACCCCAAACCTCAAATTTTATTAACCATTATCAAAAAAAGATAATAAAATCATATAAGAGGAGACATAGCCTGTATTGTCAAAACCCAAGTACAAAGCTCTCCCTCACCAACTTAAATCCACCCAAAACAAAGAAAATCATCATTACAAAGCATTAACCATAATGAACAGTGGGAAGGCAAAACAACCTCATTAATTTCCTATGGAATAAATGTACAAAGCCCAAGAAATGAAACTGAGTTTCATCAATATCACAATTTGCAAGGAAGTCCGCACCACGTACGACTACATTAATAATTCATGAAGGGTGTAAGCAAACTGAACATGAATATTCCCCAATAACCTTATTAAATCACCAAGGATATAAGAAAGAAGCCACGGGTGAAGAACTTCGCCCACTAGAATATCAATGGCTGTTCTATCATCACTTTCTATATCAACATCATGAATTTGGTGATCAACACACAGCTGAATTCCATCGTGAAGAGCCAACATTTCTGTTCTTAGGGTGTTGTACTGAACTGTAAAAATCGTGGAAAGAAAAACACACTTTTGGGTTTTTTTTCTTGATAAGTGAAAAGAAATACAGACTTTGGTTGTATCATCATGAGCCTTTTGTTGGAGGGTTTCATATAGATGTAAAATTGTAAACAAAAGTTATTAACATAATTGGGAATAGATCAATGCAGAAGCACAAAGGCAATTATAACCAAGGCATGCATGAATATTCTGAATAATCAAGCTTCAATGCTCCCCTCTTGTCCTATTTTTGATAGTTCAATAAAAAAAAAAGTTTGTTTTAATATTTATAAAATAATCAAATTAAGTTTACCACCTTAATTTTGTGTGAAAACTATAAAAGAAAAATTCATATATAAGAGCAAATATATAAAAATTAATGAAAAAGAATGAAACTTAAAACCTTGAATAATTGAGGCATAGCTATCTAATTAGCTGATAGGATCAAAATGATACCAATACTAATAATTTAGTCGTTGATTACATCATTAGTTATTCTGAATTTCCACTTGTCTAGAATAAAAATCAATGACAAGCATTTAAGTAAAGGCAAATATACGTCTCAGGAGGAAAGGATAAAGCTACTTTTCTTTCTATAAAAAGAAAAGAAAGGGTAGAATGAAGAATGATACAGGCAGGCATCCACGTTCATGGCATGCCGCCCACTGATAATTAATTATATATATGAATAAAAGCATTCATACTCACATCTCTCTCTATTTTATATATATCTAATTAGAAAAAAAAATCATCATATATATCTGAAGAAAAGGCATGTCATGGAGCAAGTTTTAAATTTTAATTCACAGAAACAAGAAAACAGCATCACGGCCGGTCAGTTCAATCCAATAGGCCCACCTCCCACTTAATTTGGTTGTTTCTACTCCACGACAAGCTTACATTGCTTAATACCTTATCTTATTGATTCTTATATCAATATCACTACATTTTATCTGATTCTAAGATTGATTAAGTGGGTGTTTTTCAATGTTAACTGTTTTTTCTTGTTCTGAGTTCTTAAAATATATATTTAAAATCATGCATCTGGTTTAAAAATATATTGTTTTATTTCAAATAGAAGATGAGAACTAAGCATATTTCTAATTGTACGTACATGGGTTTTTTTTTTTTTTTCTGAAACAAAAAATGTACTTTTGAAATTTTATTTGAAAAATATATTTTTATTTTAAATCATAAAATATATCCTCACCATCTTTCATAAATCATATAATATATTTGTATGCATTTGCTTTGTTGAATGCATGAATATAATATAGAAACGCAACACTTCTCGTCTATATATAATACGATGTCACTCCTACATTTCATCTTCTACGATTGAACTTAGTCGTTTGTTCCTGATTCTTGAATAGTGTGATTTTATATATCTGATATGTAATTTGGTGAGTGATTGATGAATGAATCCTAACCTTCTGCCTTTAAAAAAAAAGGCTAGAAATCTTATATGCCTTTGAGTGATATTCAAAGAATAAAAGCTGGGACTGAATATCAAGCCGCAAGAATACATCACATCTGTCATAATTTATATTAAACTTCAAAGAATATATTTCATTTAGATATTTTGCGGCTTTTATGAGCTCAACCTCCTTATATGGGTTTTTTAGAAGGGTAACGTTTTCATATTCTGTTTTCCTACATTTTTTATTATTTATTAAAAATTGTAACAGTGGACGCCTTTGGGATTAAAAAACTATTTTGCTACTTCTAAAATAATTTCTGGATTAAGAAGCATCCCAAAATGTGTTTATCTATTAGGCCCCGTTTGCTTTTTAATAAGTTATTCGGGTAAATGTAATTTATTTGGGTAAATTTTTCCTAGGAAATACTTGCCCCAGTAAGTGCATTTATCCATGTTCTTTTATTTTCTAGGTAAATAAGGTAATGACCATTTTAGCCATAAAAATCTATTATCAAAAGGAGCATTTTTGTCCCATTCAAGTGTTGCCAATTTTCCCCCCAAATGAGAAAGTTATTTATCCACCTAGGTGATGGGTACAACTTATCCGAGTAAATGATACATAAGAAAATAAATTTTTTCTATCCCCACATAAATCTTAAAAAAAACATGGGATTCTTGGTCAATGAAAATCAAAATCTCGTTGACCAATTTTTTCCTCTCAAAATCCGAACAAAGAATACTCCCTTGAGTGGTAAAATTAAAGCTTATGCCAGACCAATGAACCACATTCTGCCAACGGTACATTTCCAATAAGGTTCAACCCTTCCTCCAAAGTCCAAACCCTTGCATATAATACAACACACTTGTAACTGAAATGGCCTCCAATATGTTTATAACTTGGATGGATTTAATAAAATAAAAAATGCATTTATTAGCCCGTTCAATATTTATAAAATTGTAAATAATTGTGTGGAAGATCATTCCAGACCACTTATTTGGAATGTAAGCTACGGTTATCTTTTGATTGTATTTTTTGAATTTCCAATAACTTGCATTAATTAACCCTACAACTGTATCGAAGTAGCTGGTTGTTGATAAGGTTCATGGATTTCCAACATGTAGCAACCACATAATTAAGTATTGGTACGGTTGTTTGGTGGAATGGAATTTGAATAAAGAACAATAGAAAATTTTAAAGGAAAACATAAAGGATACTGTCTCCCCTTTTGGAAAAGTGGGACTTTCTGTGATTTGGAAATGGAAATTTGTAACTTATCGGAAATTGGGGTTCAACTCAATCCATCCCACTTCCCCCTCGTGCATCCAAGACCACAAAGAAAGAGAATTACAACCTACACAGAGAGAGAGAGAGAGAGAAAGAGAGAGAGAGAGAGAGAGAAGATTCACAAATCACATAGGAGACACTGCAACTGTACATTGATAAATGAAAGAGAAGACTCTGCAGTCACATTACCAAATACAGATGTTTGGTTGCTCACATAAAAATCCTGATAGGAAAACAGAAATGCAAGATGCATTAAAAAACACAAACCCATAATACAACTTGCCATGAAATTGCCTGGTTATTTGTTAAAGGCTTCAAAGGTTGCAACCTGAATTCCAACAGAACTATCCAACCTCACAGACCATTTCTGCTCTGAGATAAGAAAGAAATTACTTCAAAACCAAAATATGCGAATTGGGTTTCTGATTTTTCACTTCCAAATCCAAAGTCAAGAGCAGAAGCAATCCCTTCGGCGAACATTAATTATCTGCAATCCTCTCTCAATTTGGCCTGCACAAATAAGAAAATAACGAAACAAATGAAACAGACCAAGTAAACCCATAGAGAAATCTGCTAACAAAATTGTTTTGGTGTTTTACAAAAGCAAAGCAACTTAATTGTATGTTGTAACTAAAGTATGAGAAAAGAAGTTGAAGGTGATAACAGAAGCATAGAAAGCACAAAGGAGTGAAATGCCAACTTACACGTTTTTCATCATCTGTCTCTCTATCTTCTGTCAAGAAACAACATGACCGCTGCCTTCTCTCTCCCTAATTAGTTTATAACAGTCTGAACGCTACAAGAAAAAAATCATTTAGAGAGAGAGCAACAAATTACACGAGACAAACTGCAACTGTACATTGAGAATTGAAAGAGGACACTCTGGACTTGCATTATTAAGTTAGATATGTTGGTTGCTAGAATAAAGACACCTGATAAGAAAATACAAATGCAAGCTGCATCAAGAAACAGACCCATTAAATAACTTTGTATATGATGCAATTAATGCCTGGTTATTTGTTGAGAAGATTCTTCTATCTTAACAAAGGTTACAACCCATATTTCTTATGGTGAGTTCCATCTGACCTCATGAACCAATTATGAGCTGAGATAAGAAAGAAAGTGCGTAAACTGAAAGACGCAACTGGGTTCATGATTTTCACTTCTAAAATCCGAAGTCAAGATTAAGAGCAATCCCTTGAGCGAACATTTTCTGCAACACTGAACCAATTTAGCCTGCACAAATAAAACAAACAAACCAAAGGAACCAACAATTGTATGAGAAGAGAAGCAGGGAGTCTGGTGGTGGTGTGTATCTAAAGTATGAGAAGAGAAACTGGGAGTAGTGGTGGTGGTGTTACTAAAGTATGAGAAGAGAAGCTGAAGGTGATGACAGAAGCATAGAGAGCACAAAGGAGTGAGATGCGAACTCGCGCGCATTTCATCATCTGTGCTCTCTATCTTCTGTCAACAGCATCACCAGTGCCTTCTCTGTCCCTTACTAATAGTAAATTGATCAAAAAGGAGAGAGCACTCAGAGAGGAGGACGGAAAAGGTGAGGTGGGTATGATTTAATAAGGACTCCCCAGACACCTCTATTTATAGAAAGTGCTGCGAGAAAGCCGCCAGGTTACTACTATAATCGTAATCTTCACATGTACTATAGCAGCTGTAAACGTTTCTCTCTGGGTAAAAGATTGAAAGGACACAATCTAGAACTTCACAACCACCGTACTTGTTTCTGGTTAACTGTAAATCTCTTAAAAAAACAACATAGCAAAGTAATCTTCGGCCTCGAACAAATTAAATTCCGGGGTTCCCACAGTAACGTAATTGGGCATGATTGATTCTTTTCAGAAATGGGTTACAATATAAGTGAATCTTGGAATAAACTTTTCTTATTTTGGAACTTAACCAATCCTCTCTTTCTCTATAAATCTCAACTGGGCGTGGTCAATACTAAGACTGACGACATTGAGACATCCCAACCCTGGATAGTGGTTTCTGGGTCCGACGTTTATGGCCGCACTTGGGTCCATTTTTTAATACCCAATTAGGAATGAGGCCGTACTGGGGTCCCTGCTCTGCTACCCAACAGAAATTAATCCAAAGACGAAGTTGACCAACCCGTACTCTGGGCTTTGCTCTTTTATAAAAAAATCTAGCCTTAAATATTCATTTTTTTTCCCTTTTTCTAAGAATCTTATTATATGCCTGTTGAATTGGAAAACTAAAGCAAGCTCACTGCTGGTTTTGTAATTTTCACCCAGAGGAGCTAGCATCGGTTCTTGGTACCATTCTTGAGAAACAATGAAGGAGGTAGCAGAGGTTATTGCTACCATTTATTTTTTTTTTTGGCTCAAAACTGACAAGAACTTTACAAATCACATTAGGCTTCTAGTCTTAGTGACAGAACTTTCTATTAAATCATCACCTTTTCTTTTTAATTTTAAAGTTACAGTCATTGAGAAGGATGATGATGACACATGAGATCATTGTAATCAGATAATCACTCTCGTTTGTTGAAAGCATTAATTCAAGAAAATTCTGGGGTCATTGATGGGATAGAATGCTGATGACGCTCATAGCAGCATATATGTTACACGCAATTATCCAAATGAAGGATCTCTTTTCTTCCATGATGGTCTATATTTACCGTGTCCGTGTCAGCCCTCCACAAGAGAGCTTATAATCAGATAATCTCTTGTCTCTCTGTCATTCATTCTTATTCTAAAAGTCGGCATGGATTAACAAGAGCAGCCCTCTACTGGTGGATTGAGTACGGAGTCATAAAGATCAAATCTATATGATATGATTCGGGAATATGTATGTTTAGCCCCTATTATTTTATCTGAAAGCACCTTCTTACCTTCTTCTATAGCAAAAGATGCTGAGATGACTCCCTTTTATATATCTTTCTATGCAGTAAGATAGGGATGGCTAGCTATGTGTATCGGCTTCTGTTTGGGTAGGGATCGATGCCACTTTAATTTGGTTGGACCAACTCGAACCAAACCCTCTCTTAACTGAACTGAACCCAATCCAATTTTTAAAATGACAAAAATGTCAACCTAGTAACAAGTTCGATTGGGTTAGCTAGGGTTAGTGCCTTGGGCAATCCAACCCCTATGCATCCCACTTGCATATTCTTGTTGTATGTATAATTAAGCATTTATTTATAGGGGAAAGGGGGAAGAGAGAGAATGAAGATGAAGCAGGATGATCAATTATTATAAGATGTTACCATTTATGTGTGATTTTCATGTAAATAGAGTTGTGTATAACCTACATTACCATCTTGTTAATACGTCAGTGTTGTAGTTGAACTTTTGATAGCTAAGGTTCCCATGACTCAACCAATGGTTAAAAATCTTGGGTTGAAGATCAAGTTGGGTTAAGATTAGGGTTTCGATATTGACACATCAGGATGCATGGTTTATAAGGGTTGTTTTCAATGAACAATTGGAGCCAACCTGACTCGAGTTGCACCTCTGTATATGGTCAGAGTCGTATTGAAAGATGAAATTGGCATTAGAGTAAAATTTATCTGTCTAGAAAGAAATACGACACTAAACCGAACAGAATGGTGAAATTAGCCGATCGATGGGGACAAGACTTAGATGATCGATGATGACGAGTAAGAGGAGGAATCTGTTAGAAAAGAAGGAAGCTTTCCTTAAAAATGAAGAAAGAGAAAAAGAATTAATAGAGATGACAGAAGGATTAGAACCAAATCGAGACCTTACACCAAACTCCAAACCAGCCGCTCGGGTAGACCAAAAACGAGGTTTACCCATGCATGACCATTAGTTGGCATTCACCGCATGTAAACGAAGAGCACTCACTCAAAAGCACTAGTATGACCCACCACAGAGAACACTGTAATTAAGAGGTCGGCAGCACCCACCACACACACAATTTCATTAATGGTGATAGAATGGAACCTGAGCAATTTTCAGTATTCGCTATTCAGGAAATGTGAACACTGAGAGCGTGCTGAAGTGATACTTTGATATTTTACAATTCTATTCACAAAGAGGGACAACAGTAACACTTTATGTTTTGATCGAAATTAAAGGACCAGGAGGGAGAGAGAGACGTTTGCGTCTGGGGCTCTGGGCTAGGCTAGACATGCGAACAACTTGCCAGGAAACACGGAGTAGAAAGAAAGATTGGACCATTGGAGCATCCCCCAACATACACGCCTTATCCCGTTCAGTCATCCAAGAGCAAATGGGGCGGTGGTCGTTGTTGGAATCAAACTGTCCACGTGGCATTACCCCCCAGAGCTTCCGTCTCCATCTGTCTTCAAGTGGGCTCCATTTTGTTAGCCTCCTTCTGATTTGAACGATTTGATGGATAATTCTGGCGCGTTATGTAGAAGAGAAAAATATAGAGATTAGATAAACCAGCCACTAACTAAACACATTATACAGAATTAATCATGGATTGGCAGCTGGACAGACATGGAATTCCCGCCGTTTTTTCTTTTTTGTTTTCTGGAGTGCACAAAGTGGATCCCACATTCCATCGATCAGTGCCGTTTTTAGAACAGAACAAGCCCTTTCGAGATATCTTTCCGTTTTCCTTTTATGGGAGTTGAAGTGAAGGGGGATCATTTAGAGAAGGATTATTTAGACTTAGGGCATCCATGATATCCATCCCCTCTGATTATTTCTTTGCGGTAAACATCATTCTTTCTTTTCTTTTTTGAATTTGTTGGATTTGTGCTTTCATGGCTTTTGCTTATGCTTTGTCTTTTAGAAATTGTTTCTTAGTTCTTTTATCTGTCTGCCCCACCTTTTCTCTACTTATGGTTACCACCATATCCTTTTTTGTTTTTTTTTGGCTCCTTTGCAAGGTTCAAAGTAGGCATGCTGGTAATGCGCACTGCCTTTAGTTTGTGCCTTTGTGGGTCCATCAAAATAATGACCATAACAATTCAATTCATTGGATGTATGTAGGTGCCCAAGAAATGACTCGGTCGGTCACCTTTTTGGGTATGCCCGCTCAAGAGATGGGTCGTCGATATGATCCATCACCTTGGGATGGGATTGGGAGGTCACTCTTTTGAAGCAAATTAACCAAACCATTGATGAGGTAAGGACTACATTGGACTGTGAACGCTTATAGATTATTTTTTCGAGGAGAGGCAGTTACACCATGCATGCCAAATCACTTAATTCTCATAGCCTAATATATAACTAAAATCTCTCTCCCTCTCTCCCTCTTATTGCTTGCTTCTCTTTGAAGGTTCAAGGGTAGTTTGGTTCTGCTAATTATGAAGATTCACAAACCAACGAATGAAACCCATAAAGCCCGCATCTGCAGCAAAAGTGGGTTGTGCTCGAATCAGTAACCCCATTTTTTATTGCTTTTAAGAATCAAATGTTGCTCGGTTCATTGCATTTTACCAACTAAGCTTTTCTAGTTCCTCGGGTGGAAAACACAGAAGGATTCGTTCAATAATACTTAACTCTGATTGGTTCTTTATGTTCTGTTTGCTTTGTTTCATTTATCATCATCCCATCCCTTGTCTTGGTGGAGAGAATACTTTGACTGTTGGGCTGTAGAAGAGTTATTGGTTTTTTTTTTTCACAACTCACAAGAAACATCAACCCATTCAGACCCCTTTTTGTCTTTTTGGTCTAAAATTTATTCATTGCAATTACTTTTTTGCCCCACACCGATGGTAGCGTGTCTTGCAGAAAAAGCTCCTCTACAGCCTCCAACAGCCAAAATTTTTCGGTCCAGGTGGATGATGGCTGATCAACCCAACCCAAGCCCCAACAAACGTTCATGCAACGCATATGTCATGCTATTTGGGCGTATGCCTAATTCTTTAGGCTGTGTTTGATTTGAAGGAAAAAATAGGGAAAGGATGGAAAAGGTGGAGAAACTTTTACAAATCTTTTATAAATTTTTTTACCTTTTTCTTCTTTTTCCTGCTTTTTCCTTCAAACCAAACAGCGATTGAACAAGTTGCTTGATTAATTGTTCATGGATTTATTTTAGGATATGAACCTTTCTTTTATTTAATTTACACGATATGTTAATAGTTAGGCAAGGCTTAACATAATATATGCCACATGTCACAACCTACCAAAATGTCCTATGAGATATAAACATGGCATGTGCCCAATAATCTATCTTGAATAAGACATAAAGTGTGAATTTTTATGTCCTATGTTTACTGCATCTGAGTTTAATTAATACAGTCACTTAAGCTACATTTTACCACCTCCTTAAAAGAAATTTGGTATAATTCAACAATTCCACTTCTTTTCTTTTCTATTTTCTTTTATTTTAATATAAGCAACAATAGTTATCTACGTGAAAGGAAGCTCTTCTCATTATTGTTCAAGCATTTAAGCTGTATTTCGTTTGAAGGAAAAAGTAGGAAAAAGTAAGGAAATTTTTACAAACCTTGTATTGGTTTTTCTGCCTTTTCCCTGCTTTTTCCTTCAAACCAAACATATACTTAAGGTGTGTTTGGTTTGAATGAAAAAGTAGGGAAAGAAAGGAAAATGTAGGGAAAGGTAAGAAAAC